TACCGCTATAAATAACTTTGTTTAATTTGTGTAGTTTAAACTTTATTTTTATGGACTAGATAGTTTTTGCTCAATTGGTTCGATGGAAACTTGGCGTGCTGTATTCTCATCAAGCACATTGAAAGCTCTACACATCCTTACTCTAAATAACCAGTGTCATAGCGACGATTAAAAGAAGTTGCAGTGCCTTAAAGCGCACTCAATAGTGACACGAGGCCCAACGAATTTCGTAACAGTGCACACCACGCTGCTTGAAGTGGTACGTTCCGTCCACAGCGGCGGTCGGCAATAGCTGCAAGTCAACGCCAGGTCTAAATGCACCTTTGGTCTTCGAAATTTCAAATTTTGTTCACACTCCAGAGGAATGGCGTTCTAAAAGCACCATATGTCCACACTCGTTTATGAAAAAGTTTTCGGTGTTACCTGTCTACTTCCTCAAAAAATGATATTGGAGAAGGTGATGACGTGAGCAGAACTGCAGATTCATCGCCGGCCTTGGCCGCTGCACTAGGATTCTTTGCATGACGTAATTCAAGCTATTCGATCGCTGCTCTTCTTCTTCTTTTACTTCTCCCTAGCGCCAATCCCGCATTGACGCAGGATCCGGTGTTCCTTCTAGTAGTCGTCTCCTTCCCTCTCTCCAAAGCACCTTCTGTCATTTCGCTTATTTCAGTGGTCTTTTCTGATCACTTCCCATCATTTCGTCTTTGAGGCTGCTCGTAGTCGCCTGCCTTAGTCATTGGGTGACCCACAGGCCTCACCAGCACATTGGCGTTGTGGATCTTTGATAAATTTTCCCTGCGACCCCCTGAAGCAGTACATTGTCGTCTTGCCCATTACACCTTTCGCTTGAAACCCTGAGAGTCATCTATTCCAAGAAATACCCTCTCCATCCCGCCCAAATCGCCTCTATCGGGAGAAATTTGGGGCCTTCTGGTGCTTTGGGGCGTTTTTTGCGCCCTGCCGTGCAGGGTTTTTACTTGGATACGTGCGATCGCGGGCGAATGTAACTCCGGTCGATCTAACCGACGCCATCTGCAGTAAAGCCGTACGATTTACTACGCCGTGAAAAAAAGAAAGGGTAAAGGCAACGGAAAAAGGAAAACGAACAAAAACGAATAAAGAATGGGAATCTAATGATTCGAACATGCAAAGAAATAAATCGTATAAACAATTGCTAGAAAGTGGACGGCTATAACTGGCAGTAGTTTATAAAGCGTCCAGCCAGCCAAGGGACGGACGATGAACACATTGTGATGGATGACTCATCGGTCTCACAAATGACAGAATTCCCCCCAAAACCTCTCGTCGTCTTGTTGTCGCCGTCGACAAATATGAGCCCCAAAATTCCTTTCATTTCCCTATTCTTCTTTTCGTGATTTCTTGATTTCCATAATTCTTCCAGACTGGATTTTTGGGTATGTCAACGTCGAAACTTACTTTTTTCAGTGGAGGTTCTCTTTTGAGCCTGAAGTCTGATTATGCATTTTGTGATCCGGTTGTGTGTAAATCTACTCTTTAGATCATTAAAGCGATAAGTTTATGAAAAGGTCGTGAAAGAATTATAGATAGAATTCAGTAATTCAGTGTTTCTGATTTTTTTGCTTCGTTTTTTTTTAACTTGTTCGAGAAATTTCTGCAGAAAATGTAAATCACATGTACGTGCCGATCTATTCTTTCATCTAAATTGCTGATTTTATTTCGTTCATCTATATTGCTAATTTATTAATTATGTGCAGCACACTTACCGTTGCCGTTCTTCAGATTGAGGAGCGGTCTTTGCAAGATGGGTTGGGTATGCCAGGAGAAAGGGCATTATTTTGCTTTCGTTTAATCGATTCGCCGCGCGCGGCAGCTGCGGACCAGTTGCCTTGTTGTTACAGCTCTAGCGTTCTTCAAGCAGCTCGATCGATATGCGATTATTATTTTTTGAAATGATTCTATGTTACTTCTTTTGTTCCTGTATTTCTTACTCGTTACAATGCCTCTGCTTCATCCTGTCCTGCTACATTATTTCGCGCGCGACGTCGCTCTCGCCGTGAAGCGGCAGTTTCTATTCCACTGCACCACTCCCTCACTTCAACAAAGTCGGGCTGTTTTCAACAAAATCGCCTATGAAGGATATTTTTTGTATGAATAATTATTTTAAATTATGAAATCGGGGAAAATGTAGTTAAAAAGACCTCGTCGCGCTCTAGCGGCTAGGTCCTACCGGTCAATTCTTTTCCATTTCCAATGTGGTCAGCATTTCACTCACTCGAGTGCTTTCCTCTCTTCAAGCTCAAGCCATGAACTCCTTTCGTGGGTCAAAATCATTTCTGGGCACCAAGGCAGACATGCAGAGACACCACCCTGTCTTCTTCTGGCTCTAGCTAATAGCGTAAGAGACGCAGAACATGGTGCATGACCCCCTTCAACTACGTTTCAAATCGATGAAATCTGATAACTGCAAATCAGCAACAGTTATCGACCATTCACATGCCCTTATCAAGATAGCCTATTTATTTTTTGCTTATTCGAACTTAAATTGCCTTCATTTTTACGGTTTCCTCCTTTGAACTCCAGTCGGCTACAGCTGTTTTTAAGTGGGCGCGAACGAGGCCATGCTTATCTGCAGACGAACGTGAAAAAAGGGTGATTGATTGGTCGTCCTGATAACTTAAATCCCTTTTGATATTGATATTTTCTCTTTGAAAAATTCCCTCTTCTGGTGTTAGACATTTGATCAATATCTGTTATCATTACCGGTGTTTGAAGCCATGCCCATGTTATCTGATGACAATATTGGAAAAAATATCTTGTCATGCTTGTTTACTGCAATCCTCAAAACCCCTCCCTCTCAAAAAAGAACCCACGAGGGCAATGGATCATGAACGACCATCTACACAGTGAAACGGAATTGGCCCAAATTTTCTGTCGTATTGAACCAGCAGCCGTTGCATGACTGAAAGATGTCCCGTTTATGGTCGTTACACATGACTATTATCCCGAAGCGATTGTTAACCCGGTGCAGGTCCTGTTTGGAAATCCTGTCGAAGCGAAAAATTGGTAAAAGCTGGTAACTACTCACAAATTTTTTTTTCTTCTTTTTCTTGGTCCTAAAAATTGTAACTTCGGAAGGGTATGGCTCGCGTGTTGCTGCTAAAAATAATATGGCAACCCTTATTAAACTTCTCGTAAAGTGCATGCCTAAAATTTCGCAATAGTCCAGATTTTTGTCGGGGTTTTCTGGAAGCTTCCATCAGGTTTCTGTGTAAGAGCACTCACACACGCGTCCACACATAACATATCCGGCACTCTTCTTTGCTTACTCAACCGCATAAAAACCTAACTGTCTACTCATATCTCATACATCTTTACTACTCGGAATTAGTCCAGTCCGCTGCTGAAACCATTGAAACTTCTGTCAAGCGCTAGGCCTTAAAGCCACTTCTATACAATTCTGTGCACCTCTCGTTCTAACACTTAGAGGCACAGTTCACGAAAATTTTGAGCGGAATTCGAAGTTTTTAAGTCGTAAAGCGGTTGTAATAGTTGGGAGTTCAGTTCAGTGGTGGAGGAAGCGAGAATATCCGCCAAATGCGAAAAATAAGGCTCCTTGAAAGTAGCAAAAGCAGAGATAGTACGAGTTTACCATGACGGAAATCGCATGAAAGGGGTATTCGGACGAGATTTCAGTTGTTGTAAGTGCGCAAGGAGCTGATTACATCAAGCCAGAACTGTCAAGAGCCGTTTTTCTCTGTCGCTATTGCTCATGACAAATTGTTTGATCCCCCAACACTTGGCTTCCTTGTGACTGGTGCCGCCTCTACAATGCCGGTGAAATTCGTCTGAGGATACACACGTTACAAACTTTGAACCTTTATAACGCCCTATCTAGGCCGTTCTCCGACCTGACAGCGCGTGAACGAGGGGCCGCAGATTTATCTTAGCGGGATATCACATAAGCCATTTTATCGTAAACTATTTTCCAAGGCCTGAAACCAGTGGTCGTAGATGAACTTCGATCCGGTCAAAACCATGAATCTCCTTATATGTTATCCTTATACAAGTGAGCAGTGCTCTCTATATACTTCTTATGGAAGCTTCCAGAAAATCCCGGGAAAAATCTGAACTTATGTAGTGTTTTCGGCCGATGCTTTTTCCACAACATAATATTAAATTTTTTTAGGGATAACAGAGGATAGATAGAGACGTGATTGGAGGAGGTCCAATCCAGGTTCTTATTGATATCTATGTGTCGAATTCCTTATCGATAAAAGTTAACCTTGAGTGATAGGTGACCTTGGCTCCGAACGGGTTTAAAGCGACCGTTCGCTCAATATTCGCGAGTACAACTACGTGGTAATTTGATGATTTCATTAAAATGATCAACGGTTCGTTTGGACTATGAATGGGAACGCAAATTGATTACTATTCAGAAACAAAGCTGATTTCACAAAATGTATCGACCACTATACAGTTTGCATATGAGTTAGTTTGTAGATCCAGCTGATGAGAGCAAAGAATTGCTTTGTAAACGTACTGCCAGGAATATATTGGTCTCACATCACCCTTCATGGGCATGAGCCAAGTGTATCCATCGCATAAAGAGTTTTGAGAGGTGGTTGACCCGTAGAATTGGGAGAAACTTATCGGCGCTCACTTACAGTCTTTTCAGTTCCCCACCCTACCATTGAAGAAATTACTTCCACGTGTTTTCCAGTCTACATAAGATCTGAAACCTCCCAGGTCACATTTTCCATGAACGCTTAGGGTAAAAACACCGTAAAGCAGCCCTGCACTGCTCCGGCCTCTTGGCTTCATCGCGACACACGGCGAAAGCTGCCGCGTCGCGACGTAGCGTGCCCTCCGTGCGACGTCGCGCGCTGGCGCCGTTCCAAACTCATCGAGAACCTGTCCGCTCATCGTTATGTAATGATATCGTATCAATTGTCCATCTAACTGCAAATCAGCTGCGCTTTTTCAGAGACAACATCCGATTGTTTTACACTTGGAAAATGGCCAAAACTTATGACTATCTCTTCAAGGTGAGTGTTACGTAATAACTCCTTTTTTTCTACAACTTTGTAGCAAATTTTCTGTGTGGTGATATTATTGAACTGCTTCTCGCTCGTTGAATTACAATAGAGTGATACAATCTTCTTTCCATAACCTCCTATCATTCCATGCTTCATGGCTATTGAAACGATCGTTTAGCTTCTACTTATCGGCGACAGCGGAGTTGGAAAAACATGCGTGTTGTTCCGATTTTCTGATGATTCCTTCAATAATTCATTTATCTCTACTATAGGTATGGTAATAACAGTGGTAATGTGTAGCTAGTCACCTATACTGATACATTTTCTTCCAGGAATTGATTTCAAAATTCGAACGATTGATCTCGATGGTAAGAAGATCAAGCTTCAAATCTGGTTCGTTCTCGAACTACATTTTCCCTTCGTTTCTTTTTCTTTAGTTGGATCTATCTTTGCTTTATTCTACTTTATCTTATTTCTTCACTTTTTGTGTTGTGACACAGCCGGAGTTTAAGTTGCAATCGGAAGAAACCTGAAAGCAATACCATTACAATTTGTTAAATTACGTAAATAAAAAATTGAACACCCGTGACAGGTATTTCTCGGGAGAAGCCTACGGGACGCAAGCTTGAAAATTTTTTGCACTGTTGCTCTCCTCTCAAAGCGCGTGAATGAGTTTGGCGGACTTTTTGAAAGTTTTTTTCTGCTTATCAAATCCGCTTTTGCCTCCCCACTAAAATAGCAATGTAATCTCATGCGAATACAGTGAGATAGGTCATTTAAGAACTTCTTTAATTGGCCCAGAGTGTTGCTTGAAAGTGAAGAATTTTCTGAAAGTATTTAGAAAAACAGGTTTATTTTTCTTCCTACAGGTTTGGCTAACGTTTTCGAATTTTGGGGTATTCTTGGATTACTTGCAGATGCAACCCATTAAATCTCTCAATTCTCTCACTGAATGAGGAAGCGTCCACCTCCCAAAGTGTGCGTTAGAGAGCATGTTTTTTATGAAAGTTGCGAAGAAGTTTATTCGCGCATAAGCTGCTTGTGCGAGATCCGCCGCCCTGGGATTTTCCCTTTCTACCTCACCAACAACTGTTATGGAGACTCAGAGAAGTAGATTTGTCTCAAATGATAAGTGAGGGTCGAAATCTCGCAATTATTAAACATTGAAGTTTGTCGAAGTCCTCTTTTGTTTGGTATCATATAGGAATAGAGAAAAAGGGTAGATGCTAGTTGGGGATCTTTCGTAAATCGAATTCGGAGCTCAAAGGGGCCACCTAATCGGTTTTGCAGCCATGGCTGAAAACAAGGCTTGGTGTTTAGTCTGCAGATTTTTAGAAGGAACTTCTTGTGCATACTTTACGCAATTCTAGATTGACTCCTGGTTGCCACCCTGCTTATAGCCTATCTTCCCCAGTAGATGTCTACCAATTTTCATTCACCAGTGAGTTCCTGTGGTCAGTGCACCCTTCTCGCTTGAGCGGAGCAAAATAGGTGTTTCTTTCGTAGGGAGCTTTTATGAAAACTTAGAGTATGTATGGTGATATTCATTTGAGCACATTCAGGTCTAACCGCTAGTCTGTTTTAGGTTGTAGGAGCTCAGTCAGTCATCAAAATATCAATTAGGCTGCTTAACTGGAATATTCAACGCCGCGACAATAATTTAAAATTGAATCTCGCTTAATATCTTTTTTCGGAACTCTAAAACAGTTTCCCTAATTATCATAGAGATTTCCTTTTTTTCTGGGCGTATGACGAACCAGTGGAGAGACACTCTTGATCTATCTTCATGTTCATCTATACAGCATAAATGTATGAGATGTATTACACTTGATTATATATGAACAGTTTGGTTCAGGGACACTGCAGGTCAGGAGCGTTTTCGAACAATCACTACGGCTTACTACCGCGGAGCCATGGTACTACTTTCCTGTTTGATTTGGATGATCACATATTCATATTAAGTATTTCAAGGGTATCATGTTAGTTTATGACATCACCAATGAGAAGTCCTTCGATAATATAAAGAACTGGATCCGAAATATCGAGGAACACGCGTCGCAAGTTCGTAATTGTCATTAGTTCTTGAACGTATTTATGTCTTGGCCAACGTTACTTTTTTGTTAATGTTTTTAGGACGTCGAAAGGATGATTATTGGTAACAAATGTGATGCTGAAGATAAGCGACAAGTTTCAAGAGAAAGGGGTCAACAGGTATGTTTCAGTTCCTGATTTCTTTAGAAATGTAATCACTTATATCCATCTCTCCTTAAGCTTTTCTTATGTTCACTTGTTTTGATTGTTTTGATATGAGATTACTATTTGTTGTTTTTCAATAAAAGTATACCTTGATTATCATTATCAAGATTCCTTTATAATTTTCGTCTTTAAACATATCTGATTATGTGCTGTTGTAAAAAATGGCCAAGGTTGGCCAACCAAGTGAATATTTCATCATTTCTCAACCACCTCACGATTTTGATTGCTTTCCTCTTTCCAGTATCGAATTTGTCTCCTGTACTCATTACCACCATTATTTTTTTTATTCGAAATTGAAGGAAGTCTAATGATTGTTGACAAAAGCGAAATATTATATTACAGCTTGCAATTGAGTATGGTACGAAGTTCATGGAGACATCGGCAAAAGCAAATCTCAATGTTGAAGAAGCATTTTTCTGTCTTGCAAGGGATATCAAGAGCAAAATGGAGCGTGGGCAAGCCCATACGGCCCCACAATCAGGTGATTTTTCTTTCCTTTTTCACGTTAGTTTAAGTTAAGCTATGGATTGGCAATATTGAGTATTGACAATATTTACGAAATGCATCAATCATTCAAATTTTGTAATATTCGTGCATGCCTTTGAGTGTTGCGTGCTCAAACCATCCCTTGGACGCCGGTTGTTCCCATTATCTTCAACCGAGTCGCTCTCTTCACTTTTGTGGTTAATCAATTGCCATATCAATTGATGGAGCCCAATATCAGAACCCCGAGGCAAATTATCTTCAAAAGCGCTTCAGTGGTTTCTTACATTCATATCGATAATGAGCATCGTAGCAGAATTTCCTACGGAAGATTCCAAAGTTTAGCTCCATCAGTTAATTGAGACGGTGCCCTCGATTTACCGAATGTGCTGAAGTAACATTCGCTGTCACGAACTTCATCTTTCATTCTGGCAAGGCTACTCAGCTATCACTTGGAGAAAGGATAGTTAGAAGATGTTCTAGGATAACGTTGCAGGCTATTTCAGTTATGCGGGTGTTGCTTATCCCGAAAGTGATGGAATTATTTCATATTTTTACTCTACAGCTTAGACTTTGATCATGATTTTTCTTTACACAGAATAACTAGCACCACTCCAGGGCTGTCCGGGATGTATTCTTAGTAGTCGTTAAAGGCTGTATCTCCAGTAGAGCTAATCTTTTCTCTACGATTCAAGATCCTCTGTTCCTCTCCAAAACTGGCTTACTGATTATTTAAAAATGCGGCTGCTTAGTTGGTCAGAGATTTCATTTGTTATTAATACTTGCCTGTTGAGAGTCTGGGTTTTTCTCTATTGTTCTCTTCATAGACGACCTTCAGATTTCGTAACAACGAAATCGACCATGCTAAGACTCTTGCTTTACCGTAATCATGCTTCCATTTGAATATGACATAAAGGGTCTGCAAAGGAGGAGTGAAATATAATGCGACATCTCTTCACTGTATGATGTTGAAAAAATGTGGTGCTTTTCAAATCATAAGTGAACTGAGACTGCGCTGCCCTCTCAAGTTTGCCAATTATGGCAATCAAGTGATCTTTTTCGGTAGATGAGATGATCATGTATGGGCTCGGTGAGCCTAGGACGTTGGGGCCAAACTAAAAAAATCAATACAAATGTAACTTCGAAGGATCTGCATTTAATTTTGGTTCCTACCACGGCGATGATGCCTTGTCATTTTCTGCTGTGGCTATGGAGCGTTCAAAGTGCATCCATCAGAAATGTACTAGGGGTTGGGGTGCCCTATCGATTGTCTAACAAAAACGTTAACGACCGTTTCGCAATCAGTTCTCATCTATCTGGCAAGGCAAAATGGTGTTTTTATGTTTAGAAGATCTTTTACTTTCCAACACTTTTTTGAATTTTTTGTTGCTGCGTTGTATGATTAATAAACGCTCCTGGTCTTACTTCAGGTCGTGTTACTGTTGGCGGCCATAACCAAGGAAAAAAGGGTCTATTCAGTGGATGGAGTTGCGCCATACTTTGAGTGTTTGTAGACGATCTTGTCTTTCTTGTTTTTTTTTTACAAATGTAAAAGCGTGTTCAGAGTTTGTCTTTATTATGATTTAAATTGGTTGAATGTATATTTGAAAATTAGATGGGTTCCGCATATTTTGGGCTCGATGCTCGTAGTTGTTGTTTTTCTGAACCTGCATTGAAGCGGGAGACCTCGTATTTTTCTACTGTTTTACATTCGAGGTTCAGGTCTTATTGAAAGCAGTTGTGCCCACAACTATACCATAATATTGTTAATAGCCGACTAATATTAATTGGCCTCGCTTGTACCTTCTAAATAAGTTTACCGGTATATGCTGTTTTAGACATTTCTCTGACATTTCGTCTGTCATGCTGCATATTCCTCGTTATAAAGCGATTCCGGTTCGAGTGGTATGCCAGTGCTATCAAGCCTTTGTCTTTTTTCTGTTAGGAATTGTTCCCTTTTCTACACATGTTTTCGCCTTCTGCTTAGCTTGTTGAAATTCAGTGCACGTTAATTTCTTCCTACCCTAATATTCATTTTCTTTTTTATTCATGCCTGCACAATACAAATAAATGTTTTTTTGAATCGTCCTTTTTTCACTAAAAACGGTTTTTTATCCGAAAAAGTGTTATGGAATGACTTCAATATAATCATGTTCATTAACACTGTTCAAAAGCATTCAAAGCGCTCTTGCCGCCGAGCTTCACACTCGGTGATCTTCAGCCAGAAGAGCCTGTGCACCGGTACTTCCTTCCTTTACTAGTTTTTGCGGTATACTAGTTGAGTTTACAGTATTTATTTCCTTGAGCACAGTTAGGCAATAAAGTCCGTTTTAAGGGAGAGGGTGCACACTGCCCACAAGCCACTGTAGACCGACCATTTGTTATTTCTGTATATTCATCCCTTTTTGAAGCTCATATAAGTCTTATATTTTTTGGTTTTTTTTTTCAAATTTAACTGATATTTCTTAACTTAATAACTAGTGCGCGTTGTCTTATTCCTCAGCTTTATTCAAGAAACAGCCAATCCAGAGATGAATTCTTGAGACCTTTCCAAATGCCTAGTTCTATTCAAATCTAGAGATTTATTTATATATATGGATACCCAACTAACAAGCCAGCTAGTGAGAAAAGCAGAAAAGATGGAAAAAGTCGAGAAGGAAATATGCAAAATGCAGTTATATCTTCACAGACTGCTTTTATCGTAATCGCTGATTTTCTCATTTCACAAAAAAATTCATAGCAGCTAACATTTTATCTATAGGCTTTCTGATAAGCATTTACTAGCAAGCTACATTTCTACGGCTCCTTGACCATACGGGGAGCAAACTGCAAGTTTTTGATTTGGCCATTCAACTAAACGCATGCTCACCACCGTTGCTATAGACATGCCAGACTATCAAGGGTTGTGCATCACAGGAACGAATGGCCAGAAATAGACCCGGTTCTTACTTCGAATTTATATTTAAATAATACCAACCACATCAACCGGATAACTGTAAAAACAGGGTTCCCTTGCTGAATTGACGTGATTTTGATTGTTCAAAAAATGGTTTTAACAGGCGCAAGTTTTAAATAGTATCTGGTCGATACCATGGTCAGGTAAAGGACAGTGGAGCAGGACATTTTATGTAGTTTTGTGAAGAACCGACAACCCTGGGGAATCACTTGACGCTGACTCTACTATTGTACCTCAACCCCGATTCAGACAGACGCAATTCCCACGGTAACCATCCTGAGATGATTACTCCTAAAAAGATGGAATAGCCTGGCATACAGTACGATTGCAAATCGTTCTAGCGTACGCGTAGCGAGCGTACTATTTTGTTTGGAGCGGAGGATGTCCTCTCCTACGAGGCGTCCTGACCAGGAAATACTTTGTTAATTTTCTGCCCCATCGCCACTTATCTGACATACGGCAAAGGGAAAGGTCGTGTGAAGGTTCACGCCATATGAAATCTAGTCCTTGGGAGGTCGGGCTTGGGGTGTCCTCCTTCCCTTGACCTGGAGGTCCAGTATGCGGTTCAACACCCAAATCTGTAAAATATACAAAGCACCAAAAATAAGTTTCGATTCATGCCCACTGCATTGAAATACAGTGGTGGTTGTGTTGTCCCACAACCACAATTCACACCAAAACACGGACTACCGAATAAGGAGATCAGTCTGAATTCTTGTCTTATGAGCGCTGACAGTTTGAACTCCCCACACTTGCTTGGCGCAAAAATTCCGATGCCTCTCCCGGAGTAGGTGCTATCGTGTATTGAGGGTGGTTGATATGTGTATCGGAGGAAGGTTATCCTATTTCCTGTAGGAGCACAGTGTTAGTACCCTGTGAACTTGTCCTCTCTAGCAGTTTTTGCGCTTGACCATGGTGATATATTACTGCTTGGGGTCAGTCTAACCCTGGAAAATCGTATAACAAGTTCGGTGTGAAACGCCGAGCAAAGCAAATAAGAACCTTCTTACTTTTCCTAATATGACAATATGCCGGTTCACAAGGTGACCCAAATTCAAAAATCTGCATTTGCCTCACAATGAACTTCTTTTATATTTCTGGCATTTTTTACTAACATACCTTTACGGAAGCGAATGAATGCAGTTTTTAAATAGCCACGGTAAATTGGAAGCCTGAAAATTGAGGAGGACATTTTTTGGATTTCTCGGGTTTTTTTTTGGTGCTTACTTTGGAGTTGGGGTTCAATTAATGGATATCTGATCCTCAAGTGGAAAAGATCTTCAAAAGAGCTTGAGAGATTTAGTAGATCAGACTAGGACTTTCCCCGATTCTTATATGTATATTGATGCCACAAACATTTCGTGTTGCGTAAAGAGCTTATTGTAGATCTAATGCTGCGTTCGAATAGCCCATTTTCTGAAGCTTCTAAGTGTCTAATTCTCTAGATCATCCGAGTTTTTCCTACCTCATGAGATCACTTTCTGTCCAAGTGAACTAATGAATGTGAATTTTCAAACGAGACCCATTTTGAAACGGTTTTTGTCAATTTTATAACAATCCTCACATGAAAGGCCTAGGTTATGTCCCACTGCTCAAGTAGGCCATTCAATACACTTGGTTCCCATCGCCTGTTTAACCAGCAGGCTCTTATCGGCCTGAATGGCACGGTTTAAGTATGCCCGAGCAGTTAATTATCGTCGACCGTAACCGCCGGCGTCCTCCGATGGGAAGTAGGCGTTTTGGCGCGCGAACTCATCGCTTCGTATTTTTGAGGGCGATCGCGTCCTATTAGAGCTTTGGTATTGTTATACAATGGCTTTGTTGCAGAGTAACTCCGAGAATATCATTCCTGCTGAAAACGGTGCAATGGTGAGTTTTTTATTATTTAAGAAAGTTAATTTGATAATAAAATACTGTATTAAACAGTTTTGTTATACTCGGTAATTCAAATTTCCGAGATGAAGGAATTGAGGGTTATAGTTCTCTCTTGAGCTGTCAGTAATCTTGTACTTAGTTGTTTTACAGGAGCTGTAATAATTTTTAGAGACTGAAGAATTTATCGTAGTTTACTTCCATGATATTTTTATAAAATGAACAGAAAAGAGATAAGGTATTTGTAGTTCCTGGAGTGAATATTCTAAAAATCTAACGCTGTTTTGTACTGAAAAGCAATTAAAATATATATTTTCCTTGAGTACCTGTTGTCTGCACAAGGAATTTTGGCGCCCCACCGCTGAAAACTAAGATTTCCAATGGTATTGGTCAGAAAGTGCTAAACGGAGACATTTTGTTTATTCAACTCCGAACATTAGGATGGATGTTTATGTGTAAATATATTTGTTTGATTCTTCAAAATTTTGCAGGAGGGCGTGGATAGTGTAGAAAATGCAAAAAAGGTTGTGGAGGCTGAAGAGGCTAAAGGTGATGCGAAAGAAGTTAATGACACATCTGATAAAACGGTAGAAAAATCAGCCGAGCAAAACGACGTTGTTGAAGAAAGTGCTATGGATACCACTGAAGTAAGTAGCTATGTTCGAAAATTCGTTTGGAAAACGCAAGATTTTATATTCCTTTCGTTCAGCAGAAACCATCCCAAGATGCATCCCTTAAAGAGCAGCCTTCAAAAGAAGAGAAAGCGGATGAAGAAATGCCTCAAGAAACGCCTGGTAAAACAGATAAGGCGGAAGAGGCAGAGGAGGAAGAGGAGGGCGATGATGAGGAGGGAGAACCCGAACAGAAGAAAGGTAGTCAAAGAGATTCCCTGTTTTTGATGGGGTCCTATCTACATATAATGTGCAATGCACACCATTGCCTTTTTTCAGGAATATATGATATGCCATTGGAAGTTGAAGGGAAGCGAGAAAGGCATAAGGTGGAAAGGATTACTATCGCTACGCCAACGCCTAAAAAAACTGTGGTACGGATGGGAGATGGCGTACCTTTGGGAGAGATTGCGTATAGTAAGTATCTACAACTGCTTCTATTCATTTATGAAGACTAAACTAATGGTTAGCTGGTAATATGCTCATGGATTATGATAATAAGCTAGAAGTGATTCTAAACAATGTTTCATGTTTCGTTGTTAGCAATCTCTCAAAGCCAATCACGCTTACTCCTAACTACGTGGGGCATGAATCTTTGTTGCTTACTGGATCTCAGTTTTATGTTCTTGGAAGCATCGTTCATGTATTGGGGACCTTTTTCGCGATACAATTAAGTCGGGCTTTGTGAGAAACGAGAAAGCTGTGTATCTACATATTTATCCTTCTACAAAAAAGCAAGTTTGAAGAATTTCTCGAGCCATTTACCTTGAACATGTCATTGCCCACATTTAATGTCTTTTCTCTGTAACCGTGGTCTTCTATAGCGAAATGATAGAAATCAGAAATCAAGGAAGAACGAGGTTTAAGACTGGCCTTTTCTGGGGAACGTAAGGCATCCGAATGAAATCTATTCTCCTCACATGAGAAGTTCCTTATAGGAACAGATGTATACTGCAGGCATCAAAACCGTATCCTCGCCCCAATGATTAAGTTTGTTTATACATTTCATTCGATACGTGACATCGAGAGCTTGTCACATGGGCTCCATGAAAGTAATAGAGTTGAATAGTGCCATAGTGGGGAAACCCCTGCGTAAATTTGCTCTAGTTCCGTAAAAAGCCAATTTGAGCTCATCCTTTCGAAATGGCTAAAGATTTTTCATGAATGGCGCTTCTGATAGGCCAGCTCTTCTATGCGAGTCATTTTCTGGTTGTATCGCATTTATTTAGTCATCCAATGGCCAATCACACATGTTGAGAGAAACAAAAAAAGAATGTAAGGGTGTTCTGGTAATGAATGGTTGACCCAGCTGCTTCCCATATAGAGCGAGGGAATGATGCTATTGTGAATTAAAGTAAAGGGAAATTTCGCAGTCTTTTCATATAATATTACATGAAGTTTTTTTGGACCTTTTCCGATTTATCCGAAAGGTGTTAGCTGCGATTTAAAGAATGCCGTAACCAAATTTTTTTATTCTCTAAACGCGAACAGTAAACAAATGTTTTTTGAACTGCATTTTCCGAAATTTTGACGGAATTGAAAAGATTGAACTGTTAGGTGAGAGGTTAATGATTTTTTTTTTGCTACGAGGCCATTCAATCTTCTAGACAAAGCGTATATTTCCAGTCGAAGACCAACTACACAAGAAATCAGCTGAGGAACTGAAAATCATGCATAAGGTTCTGTACGGAAATCCTGGAAAGGCAACCACATTAAAGAGGGAAATACGCAAGTTCAAAGGGTTCGTTTTTCCTTCTGGAAAGCAGTTCACGCATAGTCCCGCTTGGACTTTTGTCATTTTGCTCATTTTTGCTGTGCTCATTTTTTGTCTTTTCAGATTTGCTTTTGAGGAGGATTCACCAGAGTTCAAAAAGAAAGTTGCTCTGCTCAATAAACTCACTAGCAAACAATTAGCGACAATCAAAAACGTGCTTGGATTGCATAGCGGTGGACAGTCAAAGGATGCAGTGGTAAGTACGGTCACAGCTAAGTGCTCTACCTAGGCTTATATAACTACTATGCAGGTCACCACCATTATGGTATTTCTTATGAAAACTGTTGATCATGCTCGTCGTGTACCGGGAGGGAAGAAACGTAAATCGTCTGGAAGGACTCCAACTTCGGCTAAACGATCCAAGAAGGCCAAAGGCGATGATGAGGTGATCATAAATCCATTATGTTTTGAATATTTTTCAAGAGTCTACTGGAGCTATTCTATTCGTTGAACCATTTTCCTATCTCTGCATGCTTCCTATACTTCTCGACCATCCTATCTTTTTTATTTTTCTCTTTTGTTAGATATTGATCCTTGTTCAAATTTGTTTTTCACAACTGTGGCAGTTTAAAGTTTTCTGCTTGTTGTAATAATTATTACTATGCTTAGATTCTAACTGAAAGCGATGACGAAGATGATGATGATGAGAAGCCACCTGCAAAGACACCAGCCAAGACCCCAGCAAAGGCAACAACGAAAACACCTGCTAAGTCTGCGAGAACGCCGAAGAGGGCTGCTACAACAAGAACTCCAAGAAAGGTATCACGGCAGATTGTTTACTTTTTTACTCTTTTACTCCACTTTCGTTTCAGAAGAGAGAATCCAGTGCTTCGAAAGAAACGGCTTCAAAAACAGATTCTGATAGTGATGACAGTGATTCGAAGAAGAAGAAGTCAAAGAAGGCTTCGAAGAAGGTACGTGGCAATCTAGTCGTTGGTACGTCCGCTTTTCCTGCACTTATTCCTGGACTTCAGGACAGCGATGACGAGACAAGCTCTAGCAGCTCTGTAGAGACCCAGAAGGAGAAGGAGGTAAGTGATAGTTCAGTAGTTCGTTCCAGTGGTTCATCATGATTTTCCTTTTTAAGGTCAGTCCCACGGATAAGGAGCTAGAGGCCGTGATCGAGGAGCTTCTATCGCAAGTGGACTTATCACAGGTATGCCTCGAAACTCTTGAAACTTGAGATGGTAAAGAAGTAGTGGTGATCTATCAAACGACTAAGTACGAGAAAAAGATCACATTACTCGTGGACTGAACAGTCATCCATGTCGCCCACAATAAGGATGAGTCATCAGATGAAATGGCGAATAAATGGGTACGTAGCTAATGAGAATATCTGAGCGTTTTAACGAAGTTATATTTTTGGAATCCCCTCTGTCTGTAATGAAATATCCCTGAAGTGCTGCATTACCCAGTGAATCCCTATTTTCCGGCTGTTTGGTATGTTTGACTGGCGGTTAAGATGGGTTGTGCACATTTGATGTGAGCTAAGCACCACCCAGACTCGAAGGTAAGCATGGAATATCGAGTGGGAAAGACCAGAAGGCGGATCATACTACATACGTGAAGTGAGCATGTATCCGGAACTTTATTTTAATGCTCTCTCGAAGTCGTTGACTTGGTGAGAGTTGCCCAGGATTAGATAAGTTTATTAGAACGATACGACCACGTTGGGGAGGTCTTCCTCTTAACAGCTTGGGCGTGTCGTTCGGTTTGGGCTAGTTGGAGAAAACTGAGGGTCCATTCAGAGTGTAGGTCGGGGACAGGTTTTACTGTCTGTGAATTTTGGCTTTTGTGCGGAACCCCAAGAAGTACAGTAGTCTACAACATTTGGCGATAATAGAGCAGAAATTGGAATGAAAACCACAGGCTGTCGATGGGAAGCGTAGGTTTTAAAGTCATCCACACGCGCACGATAACCTCTAACTTAAAACTTAACGTCCCACAAGGTTGGCGATTAATGGACAAAACATCAGTCTCAGACGAGACTCGAACCCGTGCTTGTGGTTTTCGGGCACCGTGCTTCATCCCTTATACTACCGAGATCCCGCTTACCCTAGCTTTCTTAACGTTGCACTCCCTAACGAACGTGTATGGGCTAAGACTAAATGATAAAAGGATGAAGTCTTAAGCGTGAATTAGTATCGTAGGAGAGATACGCTTACGCATTCAAATTCCATTCAGAATCTTAGTGGGAATGCGTATGTGGCCTGTACCATAACTTGCTCTGGCCAGCTCATATACAAATCATCATTTTTATCCTCCCATGCCAATTGACCGACTCAGGAGAGATGGAAGGCTTGGTTGGCCTAGGCGGTCATCGATCCGGGATTCGAACTAGTGACCATGCGTGTAAGTGCGCCTTTTGCCACTACACCACCTCCGCTCTAATCGCAATATAACTCGTAAATTAGTTTTTCAATGGGAAGATAGCCTCTTTGCTTATTCGTTTTTGCAGTTTTAAGTAGATTTTTACTCTTACTTTAGTTTAAAATTAACTTCACTTCTTAATCAAATTAATCACTTTTTGCTTTGTTTGTTTAGTTTACATATTATTTGTTTTGAATGTTGTTTTTTATTTTAAGATTATATCCTTTTAATATCACTTCATTTATTTCTTCTCAATGGAATTATTGTCTTCCATTATCCCCCCCCCCCCTATCGAATCGCATTTGCTGGAAGTTAGTTTCTGGCACTGCTGGGCTACATAATTGATTTTGATCAGAATAAATGAGCTCGGTAGGTACTGACGCAAGTAGCAGTCCTTTGTTATCGTTACATGACGTGAATTGTCGTGCACTAAGCATCGAACTGATGGCTATCCATTATCCGGCTGAAAGATGATCGTGTTACATTACAATCGTCCTTGAGGCGCTGAACAGAAAACACAGCAAGAGTGCTCGACACCTGTTCTATTTAGTTTTGTTCAACCAACATTGTGAAGTGTCATTGGTTCACCAAAGAAGAAAAAAAATTCGACATTGAATGTACTTGCCATTGATTGCGTTCAGTAACCGATGTTTGCTCACTCCGTAACTGGTGTGGGGAACATTATGGCGATGTCCATAAAGTTACATTTACATGATTTTTTCCAAGCTGATATCTCCAATCTTTTATCCCCAACATATCGGCACTTAACAGAATGACATGGATGTGCCTGGCATTTACCCATTGCTACAGCCTTCAACTGAAAACTCAATGGAATCTGTTGATTGCTCGAAAATGTGACATTTGGGATGATCGCTTTTCCGCTGGGGTTTGATCTTAAATATTGAAAGGGGCAGTGAAAAATATAGGAATAATTCCAAGATTTGTTCTTACAGTACTCCACAAAACGCAGGGTTTAGGTAAAAATACCAGTGAACAGGTCTGCAGGCAGAAACACTAATTTGCACCCTTGGACAAGACCCGGCGGTATTCAAAACAAATTTCAAAGAGTGGCTGTTAATATTTTCTAATGAACTGGAGAAGTTGTAATTTTATGACCTGAAATAGTTTTTTTGGATATTTGGAGGGGTTCATGCGTCTCCCTGACCCCCTCCCCCTCTCCCCTTCCCTCCTTTGTAGTTTTTTGTACTCAATTCCGTCACGCCGAGGTCATTCGTACTATGGCTGATGAACGGAGAGCTTGAAAAGTCGGTGCCTTCCTCGAGTTGTTGGCTAGTAGAAAAATCAATTGAAAATAGAAAATTACGAGAAAGTATATTACGACGTGGAAGCCACTCCTTCGAGCATGCGAATTTTTGCAAGAACGGGTGATTTAGACGTGGGATTGAGTTTAAGTTGAGGGCCACCTAACAAACTGCCCTCCTTTTCTCGTAGATGGGGCAGCTCAAGCCTTGGTACAGAATCTAAATGGTGAATAATAGATAACAGCCTGCCAGTACGAACAGTTTTCTCAGTTACCAGTTTCTCCCTCTGCATACCACATTGATTCTTCCTTTTCCATCGAAATGAGAAGCTCAAGAAGACAGTCCTCTACCTTTCCATCCCACATTTCAGTCATCTGTTGTTGCATGTGAGGTTTTTGAGTCCGATCTGTTGTTTTCCGTAATGCTGTTGTGGTTCCAAGTTATTAATGGCCCACTCCTTCCCATGTCCCGCAAATTTTTTTTGTTTGCGTTTAGTGATTACGATGAGGACTTTTTGGAGATGGCGATTTTTTTNTTTTTTTAAGCCAGCGGCGTTCACAGACCACAATTTTGAAGTAGTTGAATCCCATTTTTTTCAATTAATGCCAGCCTTTTGATGATCCTAGGAAACCTGCGACTGCAATCACTCTGCCGAATGCAGTTATTCCTGTGTAAGACGCGTTCTAGGTGAAAGCTACATCCGAAATATCACAACCCTCTTTTAGGACACCCCATAAATCATTTGGAGTTGATCAAAATTAGGATGCGGAGAAGGGATGAGGAGGCGTGTGATATGCGTAGGTCCCATTACGATCAGAACAGGAGCATTCGTTGAGATCCGGTGCTATAAAAAGCGCTGTTCAATCCTGAAGTAGTCTAAAGATCAAGAAGGCTGTGGGAGGCTAGGCAATATTCGAGAAGGGCAAGGTCTATATGCTCCTAGTGGGCAGAGCTTCCTCAAAAAGGGTGGGACTGGAACATAGCGGACATAGAGTTTATCGCATTTCGTTCAAGTGATGTGGTTGGGATTGGAAAAATTGGAAGTGGCTACGAAGTTTCCACGAAGGGAACCTCGAATGTTGTGTGAATGAAGTTCTTTTGGACTCTTCACTGGTGTTATGAAAACCTAATTGGGTTCATGTTTTGGCAGAAATGCTTCCTCGAGGGTCTAAAAGGTTCAGAAACAAAAAAGTGGAGATGTTGAGCAGTTTGAAGGAAGGGTGGACGAAACTTGGTTGCTGCCTTTTGTTTGCTTCCGAAGTTGTGCTCAATCTTGTGTCGGGTTGGCCAATTCTTCTAGCTGATGCTATCATCTCCGCTTAGCTTCAAAACAGCTCCAAGCAACTGCATTTCGATAGGTCTCATGCTTTAAGCGTTTCTTTTTCTTCCAAAATTGAGCGTTTTTCGCAAATAAGAGTGGATGTTGGATACGTGGCGTATTCTTAACCACTCTAGCTAGTTTTACTGACTCCGGTTTTCAGTAGCGCAACTCGAAGGGCCTTTCTTTGAGTGATCCTGGCTTCTTGTGAACTTTGGTTTTGTTCAATAGTTTGTTTGTTTTCAGGTCAGCATGAAGCAGATGTGCCAAGCGGTGATTGAGAAGTTCCCCGGAACGAACATCGCTACTCGTGTAGACTACTTGAAGGGCAAAATCAAGCAGAGCTTGTCGTCAAAGTAACGACTGCTCTTTGCACTTGCACTTTGTTTCGTTAAGAACTACCTTATGCTGCCTCAAAATACAATTTTGTTGAATTTTTTCATCCTGCTAATTCTTCACTGTTTTTCATTTTATTCCTTGTTCCCATTTCCGTACACATTACCTTTTTGAAACCTCCGGTTTACCACATTTCCATATTGACTTTATTCCATCGTTACCACAATCCCGTATTCGGGTGTGCGCGATAAGGTCCGGACGCGGTGTCGCCTTAGTTGCCGTATGGGGAAATCCAGGCCAGGACGCATCGAATTTCTTCGCACGGCGACTAAGGCGACGTCGCGTCCGGACCTAATCGCACACACTTCACCTCGTTTCCAATTGGAGCACGTAATACGCTATCATTGTCGTTTTACGTGTAACTCTAGCGACGGTAGATTACAGTATATCTCAGTTTCGTAGTTATATGATCTCTCAAGTCTCTATTTGGATGTATTTAGCTACACGTTGTTAAACAAATAAAATTGTGTGCGTAGTGATAATTTGGTACCATCACCGGAAAGGGAAAAACACTATGGAAGCGAAAATTCCGAGTGGGAAACATTGTATCCCCACAGTAATCCATCCATAGGTCCTGGGTCGAACTCCTGAGAGAGATGCAGCAGGGCCGAGTGACGTGACCACACTACTCCATCACCGTTTCCTTACCCAGGATCCTTTTTTCCAATGCGTCGTGTATGGGAACAGATTAGGTTGTATATTGAGGTCATGTCGTGGAATGAAAAGTGTTGTACGTGAAAATCTACGTCTATGCATTTTATTCTGCCACCATTAGCTGGAAGTATGGACACTGCCAATTTTCATCCCAAAAAGACATCTGGGTGACATGCTCGGCAAGATGTGTAGGCGATTTAACACCTGATCGGATCCAATTGCACTACACGAGAGCACCTTTCTCCGTTTTTCAAGCTTTTCACACTATTCGGGCGCTCATTCACACGACTCTCTNCCGATGAGTCCATCAAAACGACTTGATCCCGGATTGCGACATTTGTCATTGGTCCGCTTTGCAAATGTTTGACGTTTTCATCTGTGCCCCTCGTGTGTTCAACTCTTTGGGTTGCACTCGTTGGTTAACTTTTGGTTTTTTTTATCGGTACCTCATTATCGGCATTCATTTTCGGTGGGCCAAACTTGCACAGCTTGTTCAGGCTCGATTGGCCGTCCCCACGGGCAACATGATCGGTCTCTGATTTTCCTCCAAATTCTCGTTTTGAGGGACCCCTCTTCGACTTTTGGGGAGGAATCGCTCACCGAACCGACCCTTATAAAGCTCCCAATCACCGTCTAAACCTCAACAACTCCGCATCTCGAACCAGTAAACGAATGCGTGGCGTATACGCGCCATTTCTCCTCTTCAATTTTCTGGTCTCTCCTTTTAGAGCGTTTTTTCAACGGTTTTCAGAAAAGATCGCAGTAAGATGTCCTTTTTCCATGAGCTTTTGTGGACTCTGTTCCATTTGGACAATTCACTGTTGAATAAATTTTTGATAACCATTCAAAAGGTTCCAACACGATCTTTTAGTACAGTAGTACGCCTCCGCATACCATATCCCTGTCGACACCTACGTAATAAACTAATCTCGACAGAGAAACGATTGATGGTGGCCAATAAAATTGTTCCTATGTCGTCCAAACACAACACACTCGGAAACCCTCAGCCTGCCCTTTGGAGCCATTCGACTGACGACGACGACGACGACGACGATGACGACGGCTCGTTAGCTGGCATTTGCAGATCGTTTTTCATAACTTCGACAACTCAAGCGCCAAATTCTATGCGTTACCAAAAAAACGTTGTTGATGTTACATTGTTGACTATAATTTCCTGCGGCTTCCTTCCCTGGTAGGCGAAATGTTCCCATTGACCTTGGTAGCGGATGGCTAGTTGAATGGCTGTTTTGTCGTATTCATTCGAGTGTGGCTATGAATAGGGCATATCCAGTTTTCATTTTGAGAACCACGTCCAAATTGTTTGGCGCTACGGCCACGAGCCCTTTCGGAGGATTTGGGCACTGATTTCAGTGGNAAACACCGTTTCTGTGAATCGATTCTGCTTCTGAACACCCAGATTGTCCTTTCCTAGACTTCCCTTAAATCCTATTGTTATTTCATAAAGAAGAAGGTAGTACCGAAAGAAAAGGCTGACCCACGTCTTTAAAAGTAAAGTGGAGCTCATTCAAATGTTCGAGCAATTCCGAAGCCAACCCGATGAGTGGCGTATCCCAAACAACGTGATCTAGTGAATGGCGAACTGTTGATCCATCTCTTACCTTTCTCTTTATGAAGTTCGAAGGATAAGTACCTTCTTGAAAATCTGGTGGAGGTTGTCTAGCGCTTCCCGTCCCCTTGTAGATGTATGTATGTAGACGTGGCTATTTTTAGAGAAACTTTTTGGAAATCAGGCATAATCTTATTGGTATCGAACGTTGCATTCGTCAATATTCTCCCCAGTTACCAGGCAGCCTTTCCAGGAGAATCCCTTTTCTTCGTCTCTTTGTTTTGAGTTGTGGCAAATCAGTCCAGTTAGATATTGCTTTACATATTCAATTTTGGCATATTTGCCACGGAACTTGTACTGCTCTCAACTTTTTTTTTTGATGGAATCCCTTATAAGGTTGCTTTTTCGATTGTGAATATATCCATTTCTTCATTAGCCTTGTAAGGTCGTCCTTTGGGCTACCAGTAATCTAAGGTAGCCCTTTTTATTCCACGCTTCTGTCTTAAACGGTTTACTAAAATGGCGACATTTTCTTATGTCATTCACTTGATTCTACTTCCTTATCTTCACTACTTAGTGTTCATTCCGAGTTCTGTATGTCTTTTATTGATCATTTGGATTATGCTTAACTAACTTACCTGCATTTTCTTACACTCGTTCATTTTAATTTCGCCTTCCTTTGAAGGCGTTTTTCAAATTAGTTCTAGTAACTTTAAAGAGTACTGCTCATTTCACAGAGCTTAGGAGACTTTTTTCGAACAACGATTCTCACTGAAGTAAAAGTTAGATTTTGAAGACGTGAGAGACTGCAATACCTTTTTGACACCTTCGCGTAAGGGCGCTTTAGATAGATACTGTGGAATGAGCCGCTCAAACAGAACCAAAATCAAAGCTTTTGGGCGGAGAGCTAAGAGTAGATCACCAAGTTGACGCATTACTATCTGGTTTCCGTAGAGGTAGTGACCGACTCATGGTCAGCAAAAGTCTAGCTGCTTCAAAATCTGAGGAAAGTCGCAGTGTTTTCGATCGAGACCCTCCATTGGATTACGACCACTCGGAGGACGGATTTTTCTCTTTGGAAGTTGTCAAACGCTTCGTTGGACCTTCTTCAAAATTTCCATAACTTTTTGATGCTCGCAGATGAATATGAAAGTCATTCCAGTAGAATCCACGTATTTCTGCAATTTTTTTGAACAAGTCATACTATTTTGAATAGTCCTCTAGGAGCTAACCAGAAGGAAAAAACTGATTGAACTTGAGACCATGACTCATGTTTGGGACCTAGTAGTTGTGAACTTTATGTTGCCCTAAACAAATGGGGACAGTAATGGACGCCCTTTCCCAGCTCCGACTCTGAGAGGGTGGCATTTGTTAAGTGCGACGTAATCCTGCTCGGCAGAAGTTCAACCTTCAAAAAAAGGAGTGCTTGCCCTGCAGATGTATCGTATCCCTAATGGAAGCCCATGACTTGCAAAATGTTAATCTTCTTCACTTTGCGATTATATGACCTTTATTATCTTTCTCCGAGTGCTTCACCTGCACCTACAACCAGCATGCTTTTCTTCAGCTACGACTATATCACTAGGGAAGCGGTATCGTTCGTAGGCAGCTCACATTGTTCAGAAAGACAAATCAAGGAGCTGTTATTTCCTTGCCACTGTTTCTTTTATGCTATTCAAAATAAAAATGTAATANAAGAAGTCAGTTCTAGTAGAATTACCACATCCGTTTTTTCATGTGAATCTGATAGTAGTGAAAATTCTGGAGGGATAGGCGGCTAAACAGACTCTAGCAGGATACCAAGGAACTTAACCGTCATGATAGTGTGTGCTCCTTGCAAAATTCGTTTCCGTGTTCCCCCTTCCACCCTCTACTCCCCTTCCTATCGCCTACACCATTCACTTAGAGCGCATTCACTTGTAACAGTCGCTGGATTATATGCACACCTTGGATCTTGTAGTCTGTCTGCTAATTCTGCGAATTTCTATACAATGCCCTCAGCCTGACTCTGACTCAGATGATGGTACATTGCGATTGGGAAGACTTTCTCTCGCATTACTGTTCGGCTGTGTTGAAGTTGGCATTTCCTTGAACACGTATTTGGAAACATTAGCAATGTAAAGTTCTCGTGCCTTTGTGGTTGTACCATCCTGTAAATTGAAGCTTTCCTCGGTACGAAATCAGATACTCGGTCGAACTGTGTAACCCTGGTTGGTTCTTCTACCGACTGACATAGAAGGTGATTCTATGGGGATCAAAGTAGTAAAGGGGAAGAAATATTCAGGTTACAGTAGAGGTTTTGACTCAAAAGTCGAACCCCCGGGAAGAATGTCTTATAAGCGCATCAGAGTTGTCTATTTGCCCGAACAGAAGTCCACCCTATATTGTTGCCGGTCCTAGTACTAGCGACCTGATGACAGGACAGGAGTACAGGTGGACTTGATGACTTGAGGACAAGTTGCTGTGACAGGCCCACCTTTCGTTAATTGCTCTCCTTAGTCTCGGACATCATTAGGATTTCTGAGCTGTTTGCTTTGGTAACAGGAAACGTCTCGATGCCGAGTCTCGAAAAAGCGATTTAGCGTTGGCTAATTAGGATCATCTAGAGAAACATTGGGAAGACTCATTCAGCCGGTACTATTCAAATTCGTGTGTATTCATGACGAATACTACGCATTTTAACAAATGAGCTCTCTTGTAATCCTTTTATTGTGTCTATTACCGGTAGTAGATTACTCTAATC